CCCCCCCCCCCCCCGCACTGGGACTTACTTCCTCAGCTTCTGGCATCAGTGAGCGCTGATAAAACTGGTGGCACCAGGAGCAGCCTTCAGGATGGGGGCTAGGGAGGCTGGCTGGTCTAAGGTGGGGAGAGCAAAGGGCCAGGGAGCTGAAAATAGCTCAGTCATGGTGGGTAGGAGGGGAGAGGTGAAAAGTGCAGCTCTGGGGCTGGGGCTGGGGCTGCGTAGGTAACTATACAGAAGTTCCATGACTGAGTCTAACCTAGATTGAGTGAGTCTGATACTACATCAGTCCTGGTTTAGATTCATGGATTTATAGATTGTAAGGCTGTAAAGGACCTTGGAAGATCATCGGGTCCAGCCCCCTGCACCAAGCAGGAAAGGTAACTGGGGGTGATCTTAGACTGGAATTTTTACACCGGTCTGTGTGCTTAGAACTTCTGTGCAGTTATGGGTTTAGATTGATTTCCAGTTGCTGAGACTGGGTCCGAGTGTAAGATCCATACCAGGGTGAGCTAAGTTACATCAGGTGATCATTTTGAACCATATTTAACCTCCCCCCATCTCTTGTGAATGTCTGCACTTAGCCCAAGAGATGAAGTTACACATTTAAATGGCAAAGTATATATCAGGATTTTAGTTTGGTGCCAGCTTTCAAATGTCATTATTTCTTGCATAAGAAGTCTTAAACTAACGCTTATCAAATAAACAAACAAACAAAGCAAGTTGCTTTGCCATAACCAGATGCTGCCAATCATGCCAAGTTTTGGGACAGCAGGGAAAGATGTCTGTTTATCCAGCTATGTGGGAGGCATATATATGGTTTGCTTACATAATGTTGCTGTAGTCAGTGCTGTTGATACTTCCCTTTCATAAGCAATAACACATCCATAAATATTTTCTCTTTAAAAGAATCATCAATCACTTCATAAAGTACTTGCTTGCATTTCCTATTTGATGTTCAGTCAAAAAATAAGCATTGTGGCATTAACCTTCTTTTTGCATTTTAATTTTTTTTCCTGCCAGGATGCACTTTTATAAATTCACTTTCATCAATAGCCTTAATCAATAGTCCCAGCACTTAAAGGAAAAAAGTCTAAACCTAAGATTACATCTGTGATGCTGTTTTGTATTTTTTGATACTGTTAATGCATTTTAACATCCTTTGTATCAGTTAATCTCCTGTCTTCTACATGGCACATTGCAGTCTGTGTAGCTGCTGCTTTTCTGTCATACTTGCTGATGTAAAACATCTGGGTATGCTGATGGTTAGATAGTTTGTGCTTTTTCACCTTTCTATTACTACAGTAGCATTAAAGTTTTTGTTCTGTCGTTTCCTTCTCTTTTTTTCTTCCCTGCAGTCCTATCACACTCATCAGTATGTGGCCAGAACAGTATGAGTGAGTATGCACAACCCCTGTGTCTGGAAAGCTAATATGCTGACTGTTCCCTTAAAGCTGAATAGTGGCTGGCTTGTTTGTTTAACCTGTTGCACACAGCTGGCCAAAACTCTCCTAACATTCTTTTTAAACAAACAAATGAAATAAAACCCTTTCTTATCAGTCTAATATATTCAAAGAAACACTTCTCTTGCCCTGTAATTTGAGTATGTTATACGCTCTTAAAATTATATTTGATTATTTTCTCTTAATAGCCCTTCCCAGTCTCCACAGCTATTTCATGATGACACACACTCCAGGATAGAGCAGTATGCCACCAGGTAAGAGACATACAGACTTCATATGGCTGTCACCTTTTTTATCATCCCACTATGTTTTGATCCCTGCTGAGTTGAATATATTTCATGCTAAATGGACATTTTTTATTGGAGAGGCAAGAACGGCTTCTGTAAACCCAAGGTTAAATTGCATCTTTGGGAGCTCAGGAGTTATCCAGGCTAAAATTTGATGCATCTGCTTCATTCAGTATCATTAAACCTGTCATCAATCAATATGGAATGGATAGTATTATAGCATTACTCTGAGGTGTTACTAGAACGTTAGCATCCTTCTGTTTTGTCTTCTTGTGTCTTACCTCTGATGTGACTCATCATTATACATAAACCCACTACAGGATAAATACTTTCTTTTTTAGCCACACGTATGATTCATTTTGACTTCAGTGGCTAAATTAATATTAGTAATTAACAGTGAACTTTAGAGGAGGGCAAAATAATTAGGAAATAAAGTGACTTCTAATTTGTTCTTCAAACAAACTGAGACTGTATGGAGTTCAGTTGCATCTGTTTTTTTAGGTCAGGGTAAATGGTATATTAGTCTTCAGAATAAACTCCCAAGAAATGCAGTAATCTCAGGCTTGAGTCATGTAAAAAGTAGATGAGTCATAGCTCTTAATACTTCTTTGGGGAACAGTCTCAAATCAGCCATGGAAAAGGATAAAGTGACTTTGTCTCAAGTGTCTTGAAATTCTAAGAGATTTCTGTATGGTGCATGCTATCTCCTTTGGGAAAGAATTGCTGACAACTGTTAGTAAATATGTGGTGTATTTTTTACCAGAAATTTGTTTTGGCATAGTTCATAACTCTTGGGGACATAATATCATTTGTTATAGATGCTTTCTTAGAGCCACTTGAGACAAAAATTGTATTTCCAAGTTAAACAGTTATATTTCATTCCAAATCAAATTTGTGAATTGTCATAAATATGAGACGTATAAATACGATTCTCTTTCCACCCTTCGCCCTGAAGACAATTTGGGGTTAGCACCCTAGCACGTCTTTTTAAGACAAAGTGACTTGACTTCCTGGATACTCTCAATTCCACACTGTTTGTGGACAATCCTTTCCTCTCTCGCCAGAACTGGGAAGTTGAGCACTGGTCAAAAATACTCCAGAGCCTCTCTGGAGGTTTGTGATTACAATTTACCTTCAAACAGCAGAGAAGCTGATTTATACCTAAAACAGAATCTTCCACATTTTGCTTTAGATATTTTTGTTGTGGTTCCCAGTCTACCCAAATTTCATTTCTGTAGCTTTAAAAGAGAAATGCAAAGCATGTATTTACTATGCCAGACTGCTTGATGCTGACTGTCTTGCCATTACATTATTTATCTGCAAGTAGCATAAAGGAAAAAAAAAGACAGCTTCAAAACCATTTTAAAAACAGCTTAGCTGTATGGGCAAATGCAAACAGAAATGCAACAATTACCCGTACAAAATGGATAAATTAACACTCAAGATGTTACCTGATACCAGTGACAACTTCATAATTTTCATTTGACAGTTAACATTTTTTTGTCCTTCTCCTGTAACCATTAACAGCAAAGTGTCTTATTAAGGGCTAAAACTGTAAAATAACTAATTGCATGGAACAGGTGCCATTTCTGTAGAGAAAATAGCTTCTCTGTTTTTGGCACTTATGCAGAATTTAGATTTTATTTCCACCTGTGTAGCTATACTTGCCCTGCATTTCCCTGCAAAACATGCTCAGAAGCCTCCCTTCTGCCCACATATGCTCCATGGGGAAAAAATATACAAGTTGTTGTGTAATAGCCAGTAAATCCCCAGAAGTGTGGTCAGAATAAAACTGACTAGTGACTGCTTGGGGCCAAAGAAGCAGGAGAATGATGGCCCTTCCACCTTTTAACTTATTAGCCTGGGGGGGGTTAGTCACTTAACTCAGGAGTCACAGACCCAGATTTTGGAAGCAGGGAATGATTTTGGACTCACACTTCCCAGCAAAGTGCATCATGTCATGGGCTAGATATTGCCCAGCTCACTCTCCAACCCTTCTCTTGAAACTGGTCTGCTGAAGAGCCAAGAGGAGGAAAAGGGTGGTCAGTGGGGAGGACACTTCCTTGAAAGAAGAAGGACCCCTAGGGCCCCTGCCCCAGCTGCCAGTGATGCATACTAGGATTGCTGCAGTCTAATTTAATGCAAGTTGTAAATTGTCTATATAGTCTCTAGGTGCCTTGGAGTTGCCTAGAATCTTGGAAATTACAGAAGGCCGACATTTTATTCTTTAATCTATCCTTAGGGAGAGAATGGTTTACAGGTTTCAGTACATCTTATGAATACTCCTTACATGGAGAAAGAGGGAATTTCAGTTTTTGTAGGTCTTTTGTTTCACTGTATTTTTAATTATGTTAAAAACCTGAAGCCCCTATCAATAATTATAGCATAAGTTAAAGTCCATCATTCAGCTAGGTTCTCTCTCTGTGTGAACAACCAGTGACTTAAGAACTTAGACCCATCACCTGTTACAACCAGATCTGAAGCATTTTAGGTACTAGTCTGATCTCGCTATTGTTTCCCATAGTCACATTGCCCCTTTTTTTCAGGCTGGCCCAAATGGAAAGGACAAATGGCTCTTTGGTCACAGATAGCAGCTCCACCACAGGAAGTGTGTAAGTAAATCATAGAATTAGAGCTACTGGGGGAGGCCAGCTCTCTAATATAATCTTCATTGTTTGCAACACTGAATTTCAGATCCAGTTAAAGAGAATAATCAGGACACTAGAAACACTTACATAAATTTCAGGCTTCCAGAAAGTAATGGCATAAACTGGCAATATTTATTTAGCTGGAGGCATCATTTAGGCCATGTACAGGCATTGGTTTTTCCTGGGAGAAACCATGAGTGTACAGATGTTCAGGATTTTTCTCCCATAATAAAAATGGCTGCTCCAAGAGAGAAATAACTTAGGAACAATCAGGGTTAAATCACTCCTAAGAGAGTTTCTCCTGGAAGAGGAAACATCTGTACACCCAGGTCCTGTGCAGTACGGCTGTTCTGTCTCCTACACATGCTGAGATGTGTGCATAGGGTCCCTCTGGCTGTGCAGTGTCAGCACTGAAGGCTCTCTGCTCTTCAGGGACTCAGCACTCAAATGTGTGTTTAGGTGTCCCCAGAAAAGTTTTTCTACCAGAAGATGGCAAGCTTCTTTGGGTAGATATGATATTTTTTATTAGACCACCTGAGTAGCTGGAAAAAAGTTCTTTGCAAGCTTTCAGGCACAAGCGCCCTTCTTCGGGCCTAGGAATGGAGATCTCAGAACAGCAGAGGCACCCTATACCTGACAAAGGGTGCTTGTGCCTGAAAGCTTGCAAAGAACTTTTTTTCCAACAACTCAGTTGGTCTAATAAAAGATATCACATCTACTCAAAGAAGCTTGCCTGCCTATGTCCTTAGACCAACACAGCTACAACCAAAAACTCTACCAGAAGAACAAACCTGGGAGAATTCTCCTAGATTCCTTGAACTTGCATATGCAGCCTTTAAAGTGAAGAACTGTACCTTTCTCAGCAGTTCTTCTGCAGGAAATCAAGTCACTTCAACTGGAAGAAAAGCCTGTATAAAGTCATTTAAATATGTGTTTCTTTCCCAGCTTTACCCATTAATTTGAAAGCAAAATGTAGTCGGTGAGGTAATATACGGTGCTGGAACAGTTTTGTTATGTATGCTTATGTTTCCATTGTTCGTTTTAGCTGCCATTGGCCCATCTGCCCTTAGAGATATATATAAAAAAATAGCTTTTATTGATTTATTATTTTTTATATATTGCTGTCATTTAATATTATTTAATATATTACTTTACTATAATATTATGTTTTAAATAAGCGAATGATGAAATTATTGCAGGACTTATAGGATAGTTTGCTTGTAAAAAGCATTTGAGATATTTTTTTCTTATTAAAAGAAAAATACTACTGATTTTTTTTAATCGATTGTGTGATTTACTTTCCACCATTTAAAACATGTTTTTCATATATTCTGGTTTTCTCCACCAATACCTAAATCATGAGTTTTATGAACTAAATCAGTTTAAGAGGATAGATCTAGCTGTTGAATTTGTTTGTAATGCTTTTGATTCTTGCAAGGGAAAGATAAAAAGGTGTTTTACTTTAGAACGCACGTATTTATTCTTTCAAAATATAATATATTACGGTTATTTCAAATAATTCATTTTTAAAGGTGCATTTAAGCTAACTTTTAAGTTATTTGACCTGTTCTGGCCTCCTTAATAATGAGGTCATACACTATTGACATGAAGCCAACTAGCCCTTTCGATTCATTTGAAAAAAATCAGAAGTGCATTACCATTTGATCTGCGTACATAAAAGGGAAAGTGAACTGCTCATACACTTGGTTCAGTTATTTATTTATTTACTTTATCAAATCAGGTGAAGAAGCAAGAACTACATACATTGTAATCTAAATCAATGTGTGCATATCACCTGTCAACTTAATTGGTAGTCATTTGATTATCATTAATTATCAATTAAAGTCAAATGCTTGTTGTCTTCCCTTTCTTCTAAAGCTTTTAAACCTTTACATTTCATGGATATAAAATTATCTGCAAGTTTCATAATACAAGATAATTCAGTATGTTTACCATGCTGCGTGTACTAGGTGGACTTTAAAATTTGAGTCTTGGTCCTGTAGACAGTGTAATAAAAAGGGACTGATAGATAAAATAAGTGAAATGGGTGCTCACACATTTCCCAAAGTAGAGCCACAGGTATCAAGACAGGCAGCAACATTTGCTCTTTTCTTTCCAGTTGCATCCCAGTGCTGTTTGCAGATGTTTCTCAGGCTTTCATTGAAATGTGTCTTTAGGTCCACATTTTTCAGTTTGTGTCTTAATGTATTTGGGCAAAATTCCATTTTCTTAAAGCACTTTGTTGCACTTCAGGGAATAATTACTGATCTGGAAATCAAGTTCTGAGCATCTCATAATCAGAGCTTTTTTCTGTGACGTTATTTTATCAGTTCCTGAGTCCTTCAGTTTATTGCAAACCTGTAATAGGGACAAAGTCACATTTAATACTGGAAAGCTGCTATATCTGTCTTGTCTGCTTAACCTTCTTATTAACAAACTTGTTAACACATTTCATGCTCAAAAGAGCTTATATAAGAAGACTTCTGGATTTGAATGACAATGGGAAAATTTCAGCCATCAGTTAAATAGCAGAAGAGCTTTGGCAGCAATATTCTGGAGCATGCTGTAAGCTTAACTGGTTGTTTCACAGAATTTCTGTTTTCTCCTTATTTCTCACTCTGATTTTGTTATTCCAAACTCACTATGATTTTCCCCTCTCTGAAACTCTGTTCTCCTAAACTCGTATATCTTGAACTTCATTAAAATAAACATTTTCCTTGATTAAACCCTATTGGCTGAAAACATGGAAGATCTTTTGTGCCGAAACCTCCCTAATGTAAACGCAGTATTTTGATGTTAATATTTTAAAAGAGGGGAATTTTTTCACTACATGTCCCTTACCACATGTTTTGGAAGAAAATTCTAAGCATTTGGACAATCCTGCTATCTTAAATTTTATAGGTAAATTGTGTTTTACAAATGCATATAAAGCTAATGGATGTTCATTTTTAAACTAGATTGATCTTTGATGAATATAAAGTGAAAATGATTGGGGAAAAAATATTCCTTGTTCTCATAGAGACCCTGGTCTTCCAGCTTGAGAAACACTGATTTATTTTAATTAAAAGAAAATTAATATTGTTGGGAAAACAGAATGTATACTTGTGTACTAAAGTATTGTGATAATGGAATATAATGATCAGTGTGAAGCAACAGGCCAAAACTTAGTATAGTATTACAAAGTTTTGATTTATGTTGACATAATCTCTAATTTTTAGACTTTTGTGAAATGAAAAATGTTAAGATGCATAATGCAAGTAATTTTCTGCATTAAGCCTCCTTGTCATATCCACCAGGACATTTTATGTAATAGAGATGTGTGCTAGAATTATTTAGAACCTACAGTTCTTATAATAATGATACCTGTTTCATTGACCTCTTCCCTGCCAGCCTCCTACTCTGCCTGCTATATTGCTGAATGCTATTAGCACTTTACTGAAAAGCATTTTACCTGAGAAATTCAGCAGCACAGCCAGTAGGAGGTTCTTCGGTGTATAATGCTTAAATCATTTAATGGCATTTATGCATCTGACAAACATCAAGTTAGAGTAAGACATTAATTTTAGTTTGTAATCAAATCAAGAAAAGAATAGAGAAGAAAAAGTAAAAGGGGGGAGAGAAGTTTGAAAATCCTGTTGAACCTTCAGGGTTTTGATATTTCTTGGGGCACTGCTAAGTTAAAAAACAGTTTCTGCAGGCTGGAATATGTGATATGTAATACGAGAGCCACAATGAAAATGAAAACAGGAATGTAATTACCACAAGCGCATCCAACTTATAACATACAATTTAATTTATTATCCGCTTCTCTTAATCAAATAGAATCAAAAATACACAAGGGCACAGGACGAGTCTGTCAGAAAATTGGATCTTTTTTTTAACAGCTTCTGAAAGTCATGGATAACTGCACTCACTTGCCCTTTGCTCCCCACACTCCTTTTCATGTAATAGAACCATATCCCTATTTGAAGACACACACATACATGCACACTAGTATATTTTAAGTGCAGATCTCCATGGGGGTTTTTCCTGTGATGCCTCTCTTGAGTCTTACTTTCCTACAGGTCTTTTTATATAGCTTCGTTAGTGTTGTGATTTTGCTACCTGCGGAGGTACTAAACACTTATCTGCTGTGGTCTGATGTACCATTCCTTTTCATATTTCTTCCTTGGACCCTATGTAGGCTGAAAATCTTTAGGGAACTAACTCCTGAAATAGAATAAAGAATTAATTTTTCAATACAGTGTTCTTATTCTGGTTGCTGCTTACCATCTTCCATCAGTTCTGGGGAAGAAAGAGTGCTAGATTCACAGTATGAAAATATCTTTTGCTGGAGTGCTTTTGCCATCTCCTTGTCTTGTAGGTCACCATGAAGCCCTGTGTTGGAACTTCTGAGCTAGAAATAGATCTGTCTTAATTACTGTCATGAGATTGTTAGTGTAGACACAAGGTCCTGTCTTTCAGATAGATAATTTGGCAAGACAGACAGAAGGCAGGAGAGAGACTCTGGGCAAAGATTTATTTTTTCCCCCTTAAATATATTTCTTCCTTTTATCAGGTGGTCATTGAGAGGGAATTCTATCAGTCACTGAGTATGCTGCTTAAATGGACAAATCACTACTCCCAATCTTTGTCCTCTGTGTTGCATGTGAGTTTGGCACAGTGAGGGAGAAAGGGTACCGTTTGCTCCCTATTGAATTAATATGGTTGTGGATTCTGAAATAAGAAAATAAGTAAAGTTCTTCATGGACAGTTTGTATTTAACTGTCATCCACACACCAGCTAGTGGCAGTGCAGTGAAGAAGCCACGAGCAATTATTTTCGAATTAAACTTTCTAGTTGTTTATAAATCTTCTGGTAAAAATATGCAGGTTAAACAGAACACTGAGCTTTGACAGAATTTCACCATGTAAGATCTGAGCTTTGTGAACACTTCAAAAAGTGCTATTTTAGGTATTCAATCT